AGTTTACGTGTTTCTTTTATTTATAAGCAATAATGTCATTGGAATTAAGAATGCAATATTAAAAACGTCTACCCATTTGCAAAATATTCAGATTGCCACAAGAGGAGAGGTTAAGCAAGTAAAGATTTTAGGGACTGTCGCAATGATTGATGAAGGTGAAACAGACTGGAAGTTATTCTGCATTGATGTGAATGATCCTTTAGCCAAAGAAATGAATGGTAAGGATGAAAGTTATTTTATTAGTACAAATTATGCCCTTTGCTACCACTTGAAGTCGAAACTGCAGGTCTGCTAGTTACCTTCGCCTCAAACTCATAAGTAATTCATTACGGTTAAACAAGGAAGTCATCACCATGACAATGTTTAGATTTCTCTGTCTTCTTCTTCGTTTTAGTCTCGATTGAGAAGATATATCAAACACTCAAGACAAATATTTGACCAAATTTCCATACACCTTGAAGTTCTTCATAAATACTCAGCTATGCGTCATATTTTCAACTGTCTTCTTAGTGTTTGAAAATGTGGTCAAGCACAGTCTTTCATGTTTGACATACTACTACAAATGCCAGCATTAAGGTCAAAATTCTCATTACTTGTTCTTCAGATGTTGAAGACATTGAAAAGCATATGCCAGGACTTCTGCAGGTATTTAATGAAAAACAATAAAAAAATACAACTATGTAAAATATTATTTGCTTTATTTTAACAAAAAGAAGGCAAGCACACATCTAGATCATGATTCCATTACTTTGTAGGCCACAGTTGACTGGTTCAAGATCTACAAAATTCCAGCTGGTAGTGCCGAAAACAAGTTTGCATTCAATGATCAAGCAAAAAACAAGGTACATGTACATGAGGCATTATTTTATCATTTGAACTTCTTTTCTCAACAAGGATCACATGATTTCAGTCAATAAAGAAACTCTTTGGGTTTCAAAGGTTGCTAGATAAACTTACAACTGGGCACTATTTTTCTCACTGTATAAAGTTCACACCTCTTGGAAACAAGATCACTTGATAGACCTAAGATTGTAACTATCTCTTTTCCCCCAGTCTTTGTAGATACATGTTATTGAGTGAAAAGTTAAAAAAAGATGTTTGAGACAAATTTGCCAAACATGTCTCTTTCTTTCTTTCTTTTGGGGGCATTTTCCTGCTTGATGGTCAGTAAAAATAAACAATTAATTGAGGGGCTACATTTATTACTACATTTATTATAATCAGAAATATGTGGTAACAAATTATTTCAGNCTAAACCTTGAACTGCATATTATAGAAGCGACGTGACAGTTCAGGCATCATCTTTAGTAAACTGTGTCAGTCTTCTCCATCCTAAACCATTATTATATCTTTAGTGATTTTTCATCTTAGTAAACCATTATTTTCAAGTTTCCTTCAATTTAAAGGTAATTTTGTATGTTGCCAAAATATTTCAAAAATACTGGACTGAGCTCCCTTAAAGTTCGGGAGGAGCCCTGGAAAATGTTTGTTTTTTGAAAAGGGCACAGTGTTGTTCTGTAGCCATCTGATCCCAGATGGTGTGGAAATTAATTACGCAATGTGAGCTTATAAAAACGTATTTTACAAAGTAAAATTAAATCTTACAGTGAAATTATTTACCAGTGTTCTGCCTAAATTGTAGGAGTTTGCCATGAAGATTGTCAATGAAACACATGAGCATTGGAGAAAGCTCGTCCTCAAAGAAATTGAGAATAAGGCAGGGCTAGCATGGTAAGAAATCCTTCTGTTGTGCAGTTTCTGAAATTATGGACATTAGTGCATTTGTTATATACCTCCAAACTCAATTACGTTTTGGAATTGAAGAAGAACATGTCACGTGTCATGGGTCAAAACTCACCAACTTCTTAGGGTGAACAAAACTCACTAACTCCCTAGGGAAACAACAACTCAAACTTTCGACTCGCACGTGATCATGTCATGCACCTTGAAACCGTGGCAAGTTTGTGTGCCACTAAGCATCAACCAAACAATTTTTTTTTTTGGTTTGTTCTATTTTTTAAGTTGGGAAGTATAGCAAATCACTTAATGACTGGCCCCATGGGAAACCATGAGTTAGTTTTGTTTCCCCAATGTGAGGGCTTAAGGGAAATAAAACTCACTGTTTCCCTTGGGGCTAGTCATTAAGTGCTTATTAAGTACCACATGAAAATATAACTCAGTAGCTCTCATTTGAATGATCACACACTGGGGTTGTATCCAAAATCTTTTACGTTGGAACATTTTTTGTTCGAGTTTGTGCAGCATAATTGACTTGAGGTTTGGCCCTTGTGGCAATGTTGAGATTTTGATTTGATTATAATCATGGTCCACAGACCTCTTGCGGGCAAAGCCGAAGGCAAATTGAATAGCTAATCAAAGAAGAGAATCATTCGAACTTGGTCAGATCTCACCGTAGTCTTCGTCGAGATTAACCTGAGTAGCGAGATTAACTTAAAAGTATTTAAGGTGTGTTATCACTTTGGGAGCTTTTAAAACTCCTATGACTCCATTAACATATTATTGACGTTTGATGTTCCTTCCCTCTCTCTCAGCAAAAATGTCACGGTAGATAATTCCCCTTACAAGATGACCGCTGAAGAAGCAACGGGTATTATAAATCATGTGAGTCATTTTTCGTCTTGCTTTATTTATACGCTTACAATTTTAAATTGAAGCACAATTCTTCCATCTAGTATTTTCACGTGATGTCATGGCAGTATTTTTGGCGTTGGAAAAAATTAAAGTTTTCGTGCTGCAGTTTGGTAATTGAGTTCCATGGTTATGCAAACTTTTGCTATAGTGAGGAACACCAACATGAGTGCCATATGCACATGGCGTTTGCGCGGAAAGGCCTATTTTGAGGGGCGTGCGAGAGTGAGAGCACGTGCGCGACGAGAAGGATTGCTTTTCGCCTTTCGTGCTTGCCTCCGCCCGCGCGCGTCTACTCGCTCTCGCGCTCTCGCGCGCTACTGGAAGTCCTCGTACCCTTTTCACTCGAGTTCCTGCCACGTGGGCTAGGAGAATTACTGTTGAAGTAGTGATATCCACATCTTGAGAGACGATAGTTCGCCTTTAAATTTGTTAGTTTGTTAGATGTCTTATCTAGAAGACTATTAGGTCATTGTGCTTTCAGTCAATTGAGTTTCCTTTTTATTTTTTAGGCGGCGGCACCTGCTGAAGCAAAAACCATCGACCCTTCTCTTGAAGGTAAGTGTTGCGATTCCTTCAATATCAAAATATCAATTCTTAGTAATTGTTTTATAGATATTAATAAAATAACGGGATTTTTCTTATTCCTATTTTTTTTTTTCATCTCACTTGTGAGAGATAGCCTCAGCACTCGAAGAAACAATTCGTATCCCAGTGCGGGCATGGAATGTCCTTTATATATCTTCCGTTTGAGGTGTTAGGACAATATTGACCTTTAGTTGGTATTGTTAGGGGAAGTTTTAAGCTTGCAATGTTAAAGATTTTGGTTAACTTGGCAAATGTACTACAGTTTTGTTTTCCTGGCCAGTCACTGTTCTCTAACCAGTCAGAGCTGATACGTTTGTGTAGTTGGCCAATCAGAAGCATGCCAAAGTCAAGCGCGGTTTGGCGCACGCGATTTTTCCCGCGCTTTTCGTTGGCTACAATTCTGTGAGTTCTGAGTTCGACGTGCGTCAACTTATTGTGACTAACTTGTCTCAGCGCTTTTCACGGGTTTCATATTTTCGTAGATATTTATATATTTTTGATGCAAGTAAAGTTGTTGTAAATAATGTCCGCGGACAAATATCCAAGCATATTTTCGCGCCAACTGGAAGTTGTTGTTTATTTGTAGTTCTGTTTGGTTTATTGTGCTATGCTTTGTGTCCGTTCTTAGTGACTCGATGAGGTAACTTTGGTCTGTATGATTTTCCGTTTGATTTTTTATTTTTACGCATTTTTTCCGTTCTTTTTTCTTAACAGTGGACAGATGGCACTATGTCAAAAGACCAAAATTGTAAGAATTTGTAAAACGTCGTCCTGGTCGAACACAATGTCATGGGACTGTGCATGGAAATGCATTCAGCTTTCGTACAAGACGTCAAGTTGACGAAATAATTTGTAAACAGAATTTCACTTGCTGGCTTAAGTCAATAAATTTGAGAAAGAAGGATATCGTAGAGTGTTGTTAGTTGCCCCTTGAATCGTCACGCGCTTTTCCTTGTGAAACGTTGCGTGACAGTTCAAATGTCCGTTATTGAGTGTGTACTTTGCAACCGTTACGGTCGCCTGTTTAAAGGGTGGAATAGGGGCGCTCGATAAATAAAAGTCGAGTTTACCTTCAGTGTTAAATTTGTTACAGTCGAACCTCCGGTTGCGACCAACTCTCTTAATTTACCACCTCTCCTCAGCGACCAGTTTTCCAAAATACCAAAAGTTTCCAAGTCAAATCACTATAGTTGGAACCTGTTTTTGGCGACTACCTCTCTTAAGCGACCGGGACTACTTTTAGAGCTTAAAGTTTGACATTTTCTTTTGTTTTTATTTCCGCTCTGTAATATAGAGCAGAAGTAGGCCTGTCTCTGCAGTTACCATATGTTAATGAAGCAAAATTTTGGCGCAATATGGTCTAAACTTTCGCAAGCGATTACCTAGGCTTGACATTTTGGGTGATCGCTTACGGGAGATTCGACTGTATTTGGTTTGTATGCAGTTAGCTAATGTGAGGTCTGGAACCGAGAAACCTTTGGAAATAATTGCTAAGTTTTGGATAATTGTGCTGGTCGCTTTATGCTCAGAGTGACATGTCATTTTCCGAGAATATCCGATCTTTTTTTGCCGTCCCAGACCCCATCTCCTCAAGACCTCAAACAATGCATCTGTTTTCGCCTTGTACATCGCTTGGGAGGACTAACTTATGTTCATCAACTCAGTAAAAGGACCTCCCACGGGGGAGGGGTAACATGTTCCCTTGATTACTTGAAAATTTCACTTTTTCGCCTTTGATCCCTATTAATTAATACATTGTTTCCTAAAATGTTTTTGACAAAGTTCCCTTTGATTTTAAGATGTCCTTTGTTCCTCCGGATAAATCCCAAAAACATCCCTTGTTCCCTTGACATAAATGAACATGTTCCCTTGTTCCCTAAAACCCCTGAGGGCCCCTCCAGTGGGTAGCACGGCGTTAAGTTCTAAAACGAAATATTGATAATTCACAGTCGTGGTTCACGTTTTCCAGAAAACGC